TGAAGGAACAAAACAGCAGCAGAATCAGAGAACCCAAGAATGGACTAACAGTTACCAAAGGGAAAGAGACTGGAGAGGATGGGTGGGAAGGGAGGGATAAGGGGGGCGAAGAAGAAAGGGGGTGTTATGATTAGCATGTATAATGTCGGGGGGGCACGGGGAGGGCCGTGCAACACAGAGAAGACAAGTAGCGATTCTACAACATCTTACTATGCTGATGGACAGTGACTGTAATGGGGTTTGTGGGGGGGGACTTGGGGTAGGGGAGAGCCTAGTAAACATAATGTTCTTCATGTAATTGTAGATTAATCATGACAAAATAAAAAAAAAGGAAATAAAAAATTATGAAAGAGCTTACGAGAATTTCAGGAGAGGTTCCAGGCCATGTCCCGGGAATTCATTGAGAATTTCCATGGCTGTAACACAACCGACAGTGGGAATTCCTTCGGTATAATCACTTCCAAGCAAATAGGCCAAATTTATTAATTTGTTCCGGTCCAATCCTATATGAGTAAAAATTATTATGTGTACCTTTAAATTTATGTTTTGTTTTATAAACATTAAATAAGATTTACAGACATTTTATTATATATATTATATGTATAGATATCAACATCTGCAATCTAAAGACATTTTATTTACTATTTAAAAATAGATTTATTTTTAATAGCACATTCTGTAAGATTTTTAAAGTTTCACTCATCCTCACAGCTTTAAATACCATCTACACTCTGTCCCCAGATGTAGCTATCTGTCCTCTGAACCAAAGTCACACATATTCAACCATCCCCTTAGCACCTCCACCAGGACCTCCAATGGGCGCCTCAGAAATAACACCCCCAGACCTGGTCCTCTCTCTGCCCCGCTCCGCCTGCTCCTCGCCCCCTCCTACCTTCGCCCTCCCTCCCCTGCACCCCCATCTCATCAACAGGAGATTCTGCCAGCTGTTCAGGACAGGGAGTCATCCTTGATGCTCTCCTTCTCTCACTTGCTCACCCACCTGCCCCAACTCCTTCCCAAGGCACCCGAGACCCTACTGATGGTGGACTCCTTCCTCTGACAGCAACTCTGGCTCTTCTCTCCTCATTCACTCACAGAGCCTCTGTATTCGATTCCTTGGGCTGCATAACAAAGCACCCACACTGGACAGCTTAAACAATAGGAATTTAGTGCCTCGCGGTTCTAGCAGGTAGAAGTCTGAGATCAAGATGCAGACCAGTATCCCAAGGCCTCTCTCCTTGGACTGCAGGCAGCTCTTCTCCACGTGTCTTCACATGGTCTTCCCTCTCCCACCCGTCTTGCTCTCCTCTTTTAAGGACACCAATCCTGTTCGTCTATATAAGCAGACTGGACTAGGGCCTACCCTAATGGCCTCACTGAACCTTAGTTACCTCCTTAAAGACCCTATCTCCAAACACAGTCACATTCTGAGGTCCTATGTTGGGGAGACACAGTTCAGCCCACAGCAACCTCTTTGCTTCCCCAGGACACCAGGCAGGCTTCTGCCTCAGGGCCTTTGCACTCACCAGTCCCTGTCTTACATGCTCATCTACAACACTAGCTTCCTCCTCTAGGCCCCAGCCCAAAAGTTATCTCTAAGCATTTCCTGACCTCAGCTCAACAAAAAACATGTGCACTTCCTGCGACTGTGGGTCACTCTCTCCTCTTTTACAGCTTTGTTTTCCTATATGTCAAATTATGATTTATGTGTTTTCATCATCTGTTTCTCCTATTAGACTGTTTTATTCTCTGCTGCTTCCTCATTGCCAGGGACAACAAGTGGCATACAGGAACCACTCACTATATATTTGCTGGATGAATAGGAGAATAAAGGCTCACTGCCAGAAACGCCACCATGGGGCCAGGAGGCGCAGGGTCCAGCAGGGGTGACTCCCACCTGCCTCCCCTCCCTACCACTGTTGGTTTACTCTGGAGATCTCAGGTACCAAAAGTCCAACCAGGTCAGATGATTAAACTGCAGAAAAACCCTAAGCATTACTACAGTTGTAATTTCTTAATTCTAATTTTAAAATCCTATTCTTCTATATAAGCAAAAGTTCACTTACATGAAAATTTGTGTAGACCTACCATCTCCATTAATGCAACGGATTAGTTCCTTAGAAAGAAAAAAATTAATACAAATTTGGAAGACAAATTGCAGAAAGTGATCATCTTCTGAAGTCTCACCTAATTGGTTGTGAAAGTCCACATATTGGTAGTACTCTACAAACTTGTTTTTATTAAAAAAGTTTTTATAGACGTGCCGGGCTCCAAACAGCCAGATGTCACTATCATCAGTGATTGTTCCAGAAGTTTGATCAGTCAGATCCAGGACGGCGCACTGAGCCTCTGCTTCCATGGGAGCCTCGATGTAGGGAATGCCGAACAGGCGAAGCAGTTCCTGGGGAGTCAGACACACAACGACCCCCGCTGACATGCGGGACACGGCCTCAACCACGAGGGGGAGCAGGGCTGGAGCCTCTCACTGAATGCAGCCCCTCAGGGAGTCTGGTTAAGCAGGAACAGTGCAGGCGTTGCTGAGGGAGGGCCGCGCACACACGCACCTACCTGGCTTTCCAGGAACATCTGTCCCGTCACCGTGGCAGCAATCCGCTCTTGCTGCTGTTTCTGAGCTTTCAACGAGTCCTGCTGGGCTGAGAGGCTGTTCTCCAGAGTTTCTAGCTCCTCCTATAAAATAATTTCATCTGGAGATAATTATATCAATAATCAAATTAAATGCATTTGTTACAAAAAGCATGCATTTAGTCTGACTGAAATTACCAATAAACTTTTTGTCTTTACGAAGCTTTCCACTTGGATTTCTGAGCGAGTCTGTAGTATCTTCAAAGTTCCCTCTAAATCACATCACAAGCGGAGGCGGCCCAGACAGCAGCCCACATACACAAGGAGCCAGCAGCACGAGCAAGAACACCGTGCTATGTGTGCGTACAACAGAACATTATTCGGCTATAAAAAAGAAGGAAATCTCGCCATTTGCCACAACACAGATGAACCTCGAAGGCATTCTGCTAAGTGAAATTAGATGAAGACAAAAATGATATGATCTCTTATATATGGAACCTAAAAAAATTTGTTTTTAATTAAGAAGCTCACAGATTCAGAGAACAGATGAGTGATGGCCAGGGACAGACAACAGTGGGTGGGAGAAATGGGTGAACTGTTTTTGGTTATTTTTAGTTTAAATAAATTGAATTTTTAAAAAACACACAGTGAGATACCACTTCACACCCACTAGGATGACCAGAATCAAAAGAACAGCTATTAGTAAGTACTGATGGGGATGTGGAAAATTTAGACCCCGTGAACTACACATGGGAATGTAAAATGGTGTAGCTGCTTTGGGAAAGTCTGGCTGGTCCCTAAAAAGTTAACCATAGGTAGCTATGACCCAGCAATTCCATTCCTAGGTATATACACAAGAAAAATGAAGACACATGTCCACACGAAAACTTATACATGGATATTTATGGCAGCATTATTCATAACAGCAAAAAGATCAACCCAAGTGCGCATCAACTGATGAATGGATAAAACGTGGTGTAGCCATACAATGGAAAATCACTCAGCAATAAAAAGAAATGAAGTTCTGACACATGCTACAACACGGATGGACTTAGAACACATTATGCCAAGTGAAAGGAGCCAGATACAAAAGGTCACAAGTCTTGGGGTGTGAATCTTGAAATCAGGTGTTGTTAAGTCCTCCAAATTTTTCCTTTTTCAAAATTGTCTAGAATACTCTAGTTTCCTTGCTTTATCGTGTAAATTTTAGAATGAGTCTGTTAATATCCACCAAAATTCTATTTGGATTTTTATTAGAATTCCATTAAATCTATGGATCAGTTTGGAAAAAACTGACATCTTAATGATACTGAGCTTTCCCATCCAAAACCACCTTTACTTAGGTCTTCCATGCTTTGTTTCATTAGCGTTCTGCACTTTTGGAATTCCTATCTTGTACATATTCTGTAAGCTTTACACGTAAGTATTTGATGCTTTCTGGTGCTATTGTATGTGGGTAGCTATGGACTGAATTGTGTCTCCCCCAAAATTTACATGTCGAAGTCCTAACCCTAAATGGGACTGCATCTGGAAAGAGTGTTTTTGAAAGGTAAAGTCAAATGAGGTCCTAAAGAGTGGAGCCTTAATCTGATAATGACTGTGGCCTTAGGAAAAGGAGAACTCTCCCTCCCTGTCCCTCCCTCTGCCATGTGAGGACACAGCAAGAAGATGGCTGTCAGCGAGCCAGAAAGAAATTCCCACCAGGAACCAAATCAGCTTGCACCTTGATTGGACTTCCCAACCTCCATAACTATGAAAAAATTAATTTATGTCATGTAAGACAAAAAAAATAGGAGGGAGAAGATACATGCAAATAACTAATAAATAATCATCTAGTAACTTCTTAAAACTCAAAAGCTCCTTAACCTGACTTCCTTAGCAATAAGTTAAAACATGTCACATTATTACCAAATTAATATCTTGCCATTCACTGGGTGAATCATCTGCATCTTTTTCAGCTTCTTCATGTGGCTCAGTCCCCAAGGCCTCTGTCTCAGAGTTGTCTCTTAGGAGCCCATCAGAGTCACTGGAGGCTTCTTGCTTCTTAGTTCCTATTAGTTCCTCTTCATCTTGTCCAGGAGGAGGTTGGGAAGCTTCATGCAACTCAGCTTCAAGTTCACCATCACTGATTACACTCTGCACTTCAATGAAACTTCCTGTACCAAAAATAATAAGGTTATTTCATCCACAACTGAAACATTAAAATTATCTTGAAATGATCAGGAGCTTTCCAAGGTACTCTGAAAAATGTTTTACCCTAAAAAGAAATGATTTTAATGTAACAGAAAACATGTAACATTAACATATTACTGTTATATGATATCAAAAATAAGTGCCTGTACCCTGGAAGATGACTGGTTAGCCAGAGATGGGTAAGATTCCTCAAGGGAGGAACAACCTAAGACAGGCACAGTCGCAGGGGGGCCATCAGGTGAGAAATTGGGGATCAACAGAGGTGAGGCTTAGAACCTCACCCCCCCTGTTTTGAGAGAAATCTTCTGCATCTGTGGATGTTTTATTGCCCGTGTCTAGCTTGGATTAACAC